TCTATCTTTTATGTAGTGCGTTATGACGTTTTGTGAAAAATCTGTATGTGATGGAGAAAAAGTGGATATCATTTTCGGATTCAGCGTACAGGAATTACTGTAGAACATGTAAACATTTCAAAACAATAAAACCATCGCAGGTCTGTGTTATTCAGGTTGCTTGGTAATCTAATGCAGTTCGCTTACTTTACGTTTTACAACAGACTGATTGTCTCAATGCAATCATAATTCCAAATATATTTAGGCTAACTCGGGCACGTGAGTTGGTTGTTCTTTCGGAAGTAAACGATCTTTTAAGTTACTCTTAACTCGAATTCTAAGCCTAAACAGTATTATAACGCTAAAAACAAGTCTAACTTACTATAATTACTTACTTCAGAAAAATGAATGAATAAACTCCCAGACAATCACTTATAATCTCTCCTAACCTCTGAGTAATCCTTTTATGTTGTGTAATAACTTGTTTCTAGAGATAGTAGAATTTCTATAAAACATTTTCGAATAAGCTAACACAGTTGTTGCTTTAGTCAAATATGCTAAACTAACACTACACTAGACGCCTATTAATCGATATGTGATAAAAATTTCATATAAATAATTCTAAAAACAATAACAAAAATTACTTAATAAAATTAATGAAGAAATAGCTACATAACAATGTCAAATCCAATTGTGAGCAACTTAATTTGAATAATTATTTATTCCGTGTTACGTTTATTCTGTGAACTGAAGTTACTGTATTACAATACATTCCGTGTTACGTCTATTCTGTGAACTGAAGTTACTGTATTACAATACATTCCGTGTTACGTCTATTCTGTGAACTGAAGTTACTGTATTACAATACATTTCGTGTTACGTATGTCCTGTGAAGTTGCTGTATCGTATTTAAACACACATTTCAGCTTCAGAGTAGTAACAAAGTATACACTTTCTAGAAACTTTACATAAACCGGAATTGAAGATTTAATTCTTATCTTTAGGTTAGAAAAAAAGTTTTCTAAAGGCCTAGTTAACGTTATGAACCGCTTTATGTTAATCCTATTAATCTTATTTCTCTAGTATTTCAAACGAACAGCTCATAGTGATAAAAGTTGGTGTGTAAACTCAATTAGTAAATTGGTAGTGAGACCCAACAGATATATGACTGACGAATTAGATAATCAAAATATTCTCCTGGGAAAGAAACCTTCTCCCAACAAGTAAAAAAGGGTGACATTTACAAGTCGTGACCTTATCCCCCTACCCCGAGTCTCCTAACAGCGGAATATGACCCCTAGTGACAGGCCTCGTTGCAGGTAATATACAATCTTATCTACCCGGCTAAGACACCTAAAGTAGGGTTAGTTTGCTCCACAACTTTTAAACCTATCCCCTAATTGTTAAGCCTAACTTACTCAAGATTCTTCAGGATGTTACTTAATGAGCGCCCAGCAATGCGGAAAACCATTGTAAATGTCACGAAGTAGAAGCACTCAAAACCAGAAGAATAAAAGCTACCCTATTTAAATTATCTTATCTTTTCCCGACTGAATAACTAATATAGAATTGTGAGAACTTTTTTAGAAGTATCACGGCAAGAACGTCTTCGTTTATCTAATTTTATAATTAAAGTCGAAACTCTGAATAGATAAAAGCATACATATACTCGCATTTCACTTCTTTTTTTGTTTATAATACCTCTTCATTCCTGTAGGTATGTCATTAGGAGTTACGGCTTGTTTAATTTTCACAACACAGTTACTGTGTGTATTGTTACACCTTGTTTAATTATCACAACATAGTTACTACGTGTATTGTTACATCTTGTTTAATTCTCACAACATAGTTACTGTGTGTATTGTTACAGCTTGTTTAATTCTCACAACATAGTTACTGTGTGTATTGTTACAGCTTGTTTAATTCTCACAAGTAGTTACTGCGTGTAGCGATACAGCTTGTTTAATTCTCACAACATAGTTACTGTGTGTAGTGCTACAGCTTGTTTAATTCTCACAACATAGTTACTGTGTGTAGCGATACAGCTTGTTTAATTCTCACAACATAGTTACTGTATGTATTGTTACAACTTGTTTAATTATCACACCATAGTTACTACGTGTATTGTTACAGCTTGTTTAATTCTCACAACATAGTTACTGTGTGTAGTGCTACAGCTTGTTCAATTCTCACAACATAGTTACTGTATGTATTGTTACAACTTGTTTAATTATCACAACATAGTTACTGTGTGTATTGTTACAGCTTGTTTAATTCTCACAACGTAGTTACTGCGTGTAGTGATACAGCTTGTTTAATTCTCACAACATAGTTACTGTGTGTAGTGCTACAACTTGTTTAATTCTCACAACATAGTTACTCTGTGTATTGTTACACCTTGTACTAGATAAATTGCAAATATACATTATAAATATCTATAAACACTAGACTACGTAATCTAAACGTACACTAGTTATCAATAAATAAAGCTATTTTTGCTAGATTATCCGACTGAGGAATCAACGCGTTCTAATGATTACGAGCAAGAACGTAAATTAAACCAGCTGTAACTGGGGTTACAGACACGGAAACGTTAACGTAGGTAAGTAGATCATCGAGACTCTGTTTTAAAAATTCCCCCGTAGACCAGGCAAAATGTTTGTTATAAGTATAGGTTTCATATTAGACGCTCTAGTCTTTAGAACCTGTAACCGTGACAACCACGTGATACTTTTTATTCCGTTAAAGAAGTTGGGGTGCTTGTTGTGTTCATAAGTTGGGGAGCTCGCTCTGTTCGTAAGTTGGGGTGCTCACTCTGTTCGTATTTAATACTTCTCATCTGTGTAATCTTACAAAATTTACGGTAATCTGTCGTATTGACTTTAACCTATTTACGATATTAGAAAACTGATCGTAAAACAATTTTAAATTCCTGACTTGTTTTGTAAATGCTTTACGATATGTTCTAGTGATTTATTTTTTACATATATATAGAAATAATAATGGAAAAGGCTACCGACTAAAAATGAAACCCAACTTGTAGTTAATCATTATATGATATCTTTCAGCGAACTTATTTATGTTTAGGTGTTAATTACATAACCACGTGCGTAATGTCAACAAAACAAGCGCAAAGAAACTGATCCTTTTGTACATTCCTAGTTTCTTACGAAGCCAATGAATGTGGTATCGAATATACAGAAAAAAACAGTTAACTCCTTATTCACTGTTACAAAACTCAACGTCAAACTAAACATTAAATAGCCCATTAAAACGTTTATCTTCACTATGAAATATTTAATCTTAGATTTCTCAATATTTATTTTTCCACTAATATTGAATCTTAGGTTTCTAAACACTTCACTATAGTACGCTAATTCTTGAATTTCCAAGGAAACATTTCTTAACTAGAACTTTCTAATTAAATCTTTCTTCACTAGGACACTGATTCTAAAATTACTGAAGAAACTTTCTTTACTAGAACGCTAATTCTTGGACTTCTAATTAACCTTTCTTTACTAGAACGCTAATTTTTGGACTTCTAGTTAACATTTCTTTACTAAAACGCTAATTCTTGGACTTCTAATTAACCTTTCTTTACTAGAACGCTAATTCTTGGACTTCTAGTTAACATTTCTTTACTAAAACGCTAATTCTTGGACTTCTAATTAACCTTTCTTTACTAGAACGCTAATTTTTGGACTTCTAATTAACATTTCTTTACTAAAACGCTAATTCTTGGACTTCTAATTAACCTTTCTTTACTAGAACGCTAATTCTTGAATGTTTAATGAAACCCTTCGAGTAAAGAACGCTCATTTTTGGACTGCTAATGAAACATTTTTTTACTAAAGTACCGATTCTTGGATTACTTAGGAAATATTTTTATTTTCTCTAGAACGCAAATTATTGGATTTCTAGTTAAATCTTTCTGAAATTTTGATTTATAAGTATATTACTATAGATAAAACTTTCAACCACAGAAGTGAAATGTATTCCAAGTTTTCAATATTAACGTAATGACTTGAACTAAACCAACCTTATTATTCTATTTTATTATCAGGATATTAAAGATTGAAGATTTCTAGGTGAACTCACAGCTGAAAAACCTTTGAAAGGTTAGTCACCGACTTCGACTAAACATTCATTCTGATGTGATATCTCCTATCAACTGTTATATTTTAATATCTTGAAATATTATTCACATCGAATAAAAACTTTCGTGATACAGCTTGCTGAAGGTGAATAACATGCATTCAATTACTACCATGAAGCAAGGGGGTCAGTACCCCTAAGTTTTCGTAATTACAAAGCGGTCTAACATAAGATTTTAGGAATATTAGAATTGGGAACAATTTTTCGTTAGCATAGATTTTTAAACGCGAAGCACTGTTCTCCTTCGTACCTATTTTTTTTTTCAACATTTCACTTCCAAGACTGACTTGTGTGTTTTTTTCCTTCCTGTAAATCAAGTGAACCATGAAGAGAAAAGTAAAAAAAAAAAAAAACAACTTGTGGCTTTAGTTACTGGATCCTTTGACATGTTTCAAACTTCTACAAAGGTGATGAGTATTTCAAAATTATGAAACAATAAATAAAACAAAGTTGATTTTGTTTCATTAATCCTCCCAGCCGTATTATTAAGGTATACTTAATTGCTACGGAAAATTAGTTTCTGTGAATACCTGCATAAAGCTGGGGGGAAAAATACGCCTTCTATTGTGACCTAGTTTCATAGTTCAAACCTTTTTTACGGGAATTTCACAGACATTAGCTAAAAATGTCGTCGAACATCCTACAAATATTTCTTACATATTGAATTATTTGCAATCAGTTTACTTGAAGGTACAAAATGGTTAACAATATTAATTTGAATGTCTTTTTTTTATGATTATATTCTATCGTTATATCTACATACTAAGTACGTTTAAACAGCTGTCGTCTGTACTGGCTGTTACCGACGACGTAGATCTGGTTTGGTGCTTGTGCTATACAAACTACACAATAATAAGGTAACGAACCTGGCCAGACTCTTCTTCAAGAGTTTTAAGGTGAAGATACGTTTCCAACTTCTGTTGACGTTTCTCTGCCAGTCTACGTAATTTTTTTACTGCACGTCGAAGTTCGTTGTAAAGAACAGTCCCTCTGTCCAGCCCTTCCCTACAAAGTGGGTAAACTTGAATCAAGCAATGACAAGAGAGAAAACCAAATCATTAAAACAGGTAAACATTTACTCCTAGTGTGTGGCATGAGGAAAGATTACCGCTTAAAAGACTAAACATCTATATTATGTTTGTGACCTTTTCCTATTTTCCGTACTAAGTGATTCCGGATTTTTAGAAGGATAAACTTTTTAAAGGTCGTAGTTTCTAATCCCGCCCAATCTCATGTTTTACTTCTTCAAAAATAAAACATGCTAACCTTAAAGTTCCTGCACGGATACTTTTGTAGCATCGAAGACCAGGCATGTTTAAGAGTTTTGTATTGAGCACCAGGCATGTTTACTAGTGTTGTATTGAATATCAGGCATGTTTTTTTGTTGTTGTTTTTTAACATCGTGCAAAGTTACACAAGGTCTATCTGTGCTAGCCGTCCCTATTTTAGCAGTTTAAAAATATCATAACCACCCACCGCCAACTCTTGGGCTACTCTTTCACCAACGAATAGTGCGATTGACCGTTACATTACAACGCCCCAACGGCTGAAAGGGCGAGCATGTTTGGTGGGACAGGAATTCGAACCTGCAACCTCAGATTGCGAGCACCAGGCATGTTTACTAATGTTGTATTGAACACCAAGCATGTTTACTAGAGTTGTATTACACACTAGGCATGTTTATTGGTGTTGTATTGAGCATGAGACATGTTTACTGGTGTTGTATTGAGCACGAGACATGTTTACTGATGTTGTACTGAGCAAGAGGCATGTTTACTCATGTTTTATTGATCATTGGGTATGTTCACTAGCATCACATTGAAAACAGGGATGTTTAATGATGATGTATTGAACACCAGGCATGTTTATTAATGTTTTAGTGAACATTGGGCATTTTTACTGGTGTGTATTGAACATCAGGCATGTTTATTATGTTTTAGTGAACATTGGGCATTTTTACTGGTGTGTATTGAACATCAGGCATGTTTATTAATGTTTTAGTGAACATTGGGCATTTTTACTGGTGTTTTACAGGCATGTTTATTCCTGTAGTAATTAATTCCAGGCATGCTTACTTGTGTCTTATTGGATACCAGACATGTTTACTCATGTTGTATTGAAAACTATAATGAACCAGATGTATTGTGTTGTATTGAATACTTGTTGGGTGTTGTGATGAACACCAGGCTTGTTTGACACGTGTTTACTTGTGTCGTTTTGTACAGCAGTGCATTCTACTTTACAATATTATTGATTAAGGGGACCTTTCACACAAAAACTCGTATTTGTTATCTTAACGTTCGCTGTTGTTCTGTGGTTTAAACATTATTATTCTGTGGTCTGAACATACACTATTGTTCTGTGGTGTAAACATACACTATTTTTTAAATTCATCCTTCACACCCATTTTCCTCTGTAATTTCATACTTTTACTTCTGATGTATCTTATACATTGTTTTTTAAATGTAGATTAGCTTAACGAGCTTGGTTCATACGTGGGGAAGTCTTTTAAGGTTTTATCTAGTACATAGCAAGTTTAGTCGTTACGTGTTACTTGTAACGTAAATTAAGTTATTGTACGTCACCACGTACTTCAACTGACCAATAACAAACTGTATCGGATTTTGCTAGGACTAAAAAACCCATGCTAAAAATTAAAACATGGACGAATATGCAGGTCATGTGACAGGTATCAAATTTCGGCCATATTTACCGGGAAAATGTATTTGATTCTACCTCTATTAGGAAATAATGGTTCTGATAATGAACTTATTCAAAGCTGCTATTTTACGGATATGAATATGATACATTTATTATAAAATAATGGTTCTAATAATGAACGTAGCCCCCTAGTGGCACAGCGGTATGCCTGCGGACTTACAACGCTAGAACCCGGGTTTCGATACCCGTGGTGGGCAGAACACAGATAACCCATTGTGTAGCTTTGTGCTTAATTACAAACAAACAATAATTAACTTATTCAAAGCTGCTATTTTAAGGATGTGAATATGATACCTTTATTAGAAAATAATGGTTCTGATAATGAACTTATTCAAAGCTGCTATTTTAAGGATGTGAATATGATACCTTTATTAGAAAATAATGGTTCTGATAATGAACTTATTCAAAGCTGCTATTTTAAGGATGTGAATATGATACCTTTATTAGAAAATAATGGTTCTGATAATGAACTTATTCAAAGCTGCTATTTTAAGGATGTGAATATGATACCTTTATTAGAAAATAATGGTTCTGATAATGAACTTATTCAAAGCTGCTATTTTAAGGATGTGAATATGATACCTTTATTAGAAAATAATGGTTCTGATAATGAACTTATTCAAAGCTGCTATGTTTTAGAGTGCTAGCATTTTATAAAACATGTTATTTTAGTTTCACGTGCCAAAATAAACACACATAACGAGATCAATGAAATTATTCTCATATATATTCACCACTTCTAAGTGTAAAAATGTTTGTAGACAGATTCGACCCATGACAATGATTTTATCAAACAAAATCAGATATTATGTTTGATCTCATTAATTAGCTTTCAATGCACGACATAACAAAAGAATAGCTTTAATTTACTCATGTAAACATGTAGGCGTTGATAACTTATGTTTCAATTTTATGATACGTTTCTTTATATATATATATATGTATATAGTAGCTGGAGCACCCGTCTCCTGGACGGGAGATACGTAAATTCATGATTAATGAAAGGTTATCTTAGGACATGAAAAGTTGCTTCCCTTATACGTAATTGTAAAAACTGCAAAACACAAAATGTGAAATCGTAAATTTGCATGTATCTCCGCATGGATCCAATGAACATCCATACCAATTTTGGTGAAAATCCATCCACACCCTTCGAAGTAGTTACATGGACATATAACAGAAGGTATTATAATATTTATATAAATATATGTACTAATACATACGTACGTTAAGTAGAAGGTGTTACAGCAATAAATATTTATACATTTGTACAAATTATGGCAGCGACAGACGTTATTTTCTTACTTGTAATCAACGTTATGGGGTGTACTACTTCGAAAAGAATCGAGTTTTTTCAGAATATTTTCTCCATCTTCTTCCAGATGGCGCAACCGTTCATCTTGAAAGGTCTGGCCGACGACTTTCCTGTGCTGTTCAAGCAGCTGGCTTGTTAGAGATGCCGTGGAAGGCAGGCGACTGGTCCGGAGTTCTTGTAGGACACCCACAAGGTGACGTCCATAGAAATGACAACCAGATAGAAAGGGTTCGATGCACTAGTAAAATATCAAACAAACATTACCACTTTCCAAACTTAAGGTTTTACACGCGTAACGAAAAGAGTTAAAGAACGCATAATAATTATTAATAGCTTACCTTTCTGAATGTCACCCAGTCTTTGTGGTCATAGACATAACTACCGCCCATCTGCGAAATTAATTGTTCTTTCTTGATAAACTTATGAAGCTTTACCCAACTTCTTACCACCTCATACTGAAAAAGAAAATACACATAGCATGAGTCAACAAAAAGGGAGGACCGATTAATGTGCCTTGTGTTTAATTCTAATTGATCTGAAACCTTGACACACCAGGAGTGGAGATATAAAATATAAAACAACCCATTAACTAACTAGTGTGAGGTATCAACCCTCTCACCGAGCACCTTACTACGTCTTCCACCTAAAATTGAGTTAGAACACCTATCGCCACGATAGGACCCTCGACTTGTTGTATGATAGTTTATATAAGAAGTCTTCAAGTAATTTGTCCGATTATATTCCATTTTTGGCAGAGAGAACTTTCAACTTCTATGAGTTCACAGAGATCGGTGCACGAGTGCTGTAGTGATTGTCATGTTCAAGTTCCTCCCAATCATTTGAATTCTGCTGACCCAGATGATGACTGAAGTCACTGTCATGTTCTTCAACTTAAAATATCACAATGATAACATATTAAATTCTTTCATTATCGTCTTGGAAAAGTCCTCGTCCATCAGGGTGAAAATACAACAATCTGGAGTAGGAAAAATCTCCAACAACATTCAGATAGACTCTTAGAAGTCTTTCGTTTTGTTGAAGGAAATAAGTGAAAATAACACTCCTAAACCCACTTCCAGTGGCTTTGAACACCACTAAAATGTGGTTTCCTGTTTACATTTGAAATAAAGAGTTTTTTGGACTAACTGCCAAGCTGCCTTTTGAAAGTTTTTATAATGTAGTCTGCGTCGTGCTGTTGTGGGTAAGCTAGTTCTGGCCTCTGTCGAAGAAACCAGTGATTTGGGGCACAGCCTTATATCTGTTGCAGTTTACAAGTTTATCCACTAATATTTTATCAGTCATTCATAGTTTTCATTGTCGCAAACATAATCCTTTCCATTACTGACAGACGTAGAGAAAATGTGTCTTTTAAAAAATCCAGTAAAGAAACAACTTTTAATAATGAAGTTTGTGTTAGATAAGCATCTATCATAATGCTCCTTTCAAAGTCGGAAAGATCCTTGCTCTTATCCAATATCTACAGATTAGTTATAATACTGATACATTTTTTACACGGCCCAAAATATTACCTTAAAAATTAATCCATCATAACATTTTGCATATGCAAATGAACGGATGGTGTATTCTACACGTGAGTATAAGAGGTCCCAAAAAAGTGTGCGTTCAGTGAATCTTTTGGATTAGCAACCAGAGTTTTATGTTTTGGTTGATTTGGCTATGTAACGAAACAGTACATTACAAAGCGTTTAGACACAAAGCTTCCTCTTCTAGTTACCCATGGTAGCATAGCATTTGCAGACATAGAAAATAGTTCCATTTCACAAATACCACTTAGCTTTATTGAGTTATGAGTGGATTGTACTTAGTGTATTGAAGTATGAGTAGATTCTACTTAGTATCTTGAGGTATGAGTGATTTTACTTATCTTTATTAAAGTATGGGTGATTTTACTTAATTTTATTGAGGTACGAATGGGTTCTATTTAGTTTATTTAAGTACGAGTAATTTTACATAGCTTTATTGAGGTATGAGTCGGTTCTACTTACCATTGCTGAGGTAGAAGTGGACTTTACTTAATATTATTGAGCTCTGAATGATTTTATTTAGTGTTACATATACATGAATGTTTCAATTTAAGAATAGCACGAGTGATAAATTTAGTTATTTTTGGAAGCGATAGTTTATTGTAAGTTTGTTTGCGTAACTGTTTACGAATCATGCGTTGTTTAGTTCACTTGTTGAGAATTGGTGATTCTTATATTATTACGTCATGTTACTAGAACCTTCTAAGTTTTCTAATTGTTTTAAATGAGTATTATTGAATCGTAATATCTTGTAGTGTGTGGAACGTTCTAGGCTTCTGTCGGGTTATATATACACGTCCAAAATGGAGTTCGAGATAGGTAAATACATCTCGACTACATGATTGTGAGTTTAGCCATATAGAGCGTATAGTGGGTTTTTTTTAATGTGAAACTATCACACATTGTACTGTAATAAGAGAGTAAAGAAGAATATATCGTCTCGTCAATTGTGCTCTAAAGTAACTGAACCAGTATGTGGACTTTGACGAAAAACAGACAATTATTTAAAGCTCAGGATACAACTGTGGTAACCAACATTGTAACGAACATTTTTATATACCTTTGACTTGTTTTAACAGATTATTGCAAAACAAGTGGACTGCGTGCTGTTTGTTTATTGTTGAAGTTTATCGTGAACAAGTCACAGACACCTATTGTGGAGAATCCGGCCCATACATACACTTAGCTTTATTGAGGTATGAGTGATTCTACTTAGCTATATTGAGGGGTTAATTCCAGGTTAGAGCATAAGATCACGAGATTTTAGCAAACTAGTAACACTGAGATAAACCAGTACCTAAAATTTGCGATTCAAAGCATTTTACAATCGGTGTTTGTTTATATTTAATATTAATACATAAATAGCATAAATTAAAAGTTGGTGAACTTTTTCGGTTTTTACTTTCTTCAGTTGCACTGCTAAAAGCAGCAACCGGCAACTTTTGAAAATAAAAAATCAATAAATTAATATCGCATTTTTCATTTTTGATGAAGGCGATAATCAACTTTAGATAAATGTTTGTTTGTTTGTTTGTTTTTTTATTCTACTCGATATTTCAGCTTACGCCTTTTTCAAGTCAGCACTGAAAACTTTAAAAACATAATAAAATTAATGTAATGTTTCTTTATTGTTAAGGGCAAAGCTGCGTAAAGCGCTATTTGCTGTGCCTAACTCAGGAATCAAGTCCCAAATTTTAATGTTATGAGCCCTCAACTTTACCTGGAATGTTTATGTGATGAATACACTTTTTCGTTATAGATATACTTTTCTACCATTATAAATAAAATAAACACGCAGAGACTACTTTCCAGACGTTTTACCTTGACTTGACTCTTCAGAAAGTAACGCCGATCACATTCTTCTTCCTTCATCCATATCACTAAGGAGTTGATAGCGTTATTGATGTTCATCTGAAAATAATTATATCACTAAGGAGTTGATAGCGTTATTGATGTTCATCTGAAAATAATTATATCACTAAGCAATTGATAGCGTTATTGATGTTCATCTGAAAATAATTATATCACTAAGCAGTTGATAGCGTTATTGATGTTCATCTGAAAATAATTATATCACGAAGGAGTTGATAGCGTTATTGATGTTCATCTGAAAATAATTATATCACGAAGGAGTTGATACTGTTATTTATGTTCATCTGAAAATACGTATATCACGAAGGAGTTGATACTGTTATTGATGTTCATCTGAAAATAATTGTGCTATTATAATTCACTAATTCTTCTGTTTACTAAGCTCTCCATCATTTTATATGTGATTATATGGAGGTGATAGTTTATTAAATTTTATATTTCAGTTAATATAAGACTACCATAAAACCTCACGTATATCGAAACATAAAATATTGTCATTCATATATTAATCCTATAATAACACGATAATCTGAAGCCTACAATAATTTAAAGTGTACTGTATTCCAAATTAAACAAGAATATGAAACAAGTATCCTGATTTACACAAGAACTTGAGTAACAGCGCAATGAAATTATAATAATTGAAATAAGTCACATATCATCTCATTCAATATTTCCAGAACTACATATTAGCCATAGCAACACAATAATACTATAAACATAGACAAACCATACCCCGACTAAACATAGTGTCTCATCCAGTTCTGTTAGGTCGGGGTCCTCAACTTCCCGAACATCCACAAGTACTAGGAATCCTCGACAAATAACTTCCTTCCTAGAAATCGAAACAAAATAAATATATGTTTTTTCTTTGTTAAAAAAGATAAATAAAACACGGTCTATTACTAAAAAAAAAACTTAATTGGTTTTACTTGAGCTAACGTTTCGCCATTACAGCTTCATTGGGGCAAACAAAACACTTGCTAACTGATTTAGGCTTATAAAAAAATACTTTAAAATAATTCGAGTCTGCGTAATAAAATGGACTCCACATTCTCTTTTTTAACAATGAATACAACTCTGAAATTTGCACTAAAAGCTTTAAACTCTCATGTTTTTCATACATCGGGTATACCATCAGCTATTATATTATTATTTATATCGATAACTTAGTAAATTTGCTTCTATATGTAATTGCACTAACAGTCACGACACTTCTTCGTCTGGAAACACTCTTGAAAGGTAGTTTGAAGAGTAACAACACAAGCTATAAATGCGGTTGTTTTCAGTCGTTTAGTTTGATACCATTGCATGAAACCTGATATAGTTGTAATAGACGTACCTAGGGATAGTATGAAAATACATCAACAACTGGGCCACCTGTAGCGCAGTAACATCACGATGTTTCTGCCATGTATTTAAGTTCACGACGATAACACTTCTACCAGTAACGTCACGACATCCTGTAATGATACATTATATATACTTGCAAATTCTACTTTTAGTGCTTAAACCTATTGCAAAAGAAAAATACTACTCCAACAATCAATCCTTTACCATCTTGTATTCTTAGTGCTTAAAACTATTGTAAAAAGCACTACATCGATAACCAATCCTTTACCAGCTTCTTTTCTTAGTAGAGTAAAAATGGCGAACACGGTGGTAAAAACAAAGAACACTTACTAACGTAAACTTATGTTTTAAAGTAAACTATCTAGTCAAATACCGAAAACAAATCACATGATGACGAGTATTGCCGTTCAAGTATATTTAATTTACATTCCAAAAATAACAGTGTATTTTTTCATCAGTTGCGTATCATTGATTATCATAATATTTAGTCCTTAAACCCATAATAATATCTCACGAGTTTCGGTCCGCTTAGGAGATTTGAGTTAGTCCTAAGTCCATATACCAAGTTCACAGTTCAAAATAACTTTTAAAATAAAACTACAATATATGTTTTGTTTTGTTTTGTTTTTTTTGTATTTTAACATATGTATTATCTACTTGGCCTTAAAACATAAAGAAAAATAAACGTTTATTACTACCAAATATTTTTTATCCTTTGTACAGTCGAAAATTTGTGTAGTAATGTCCGCACTATGTTTTTCTACTTCCTGACCTAGAATACAGTGAAAATGTTCAAGAATTCTATTTAAATCTCTTTCAAAATGCACACGTACTTTTGTTCATGATAACATTTGATTTTTCTTCGTAGTTTTTACTAAAAATGTGGTGATTAAATAATTACTTCGAAACTAATGAAATAACTGAAGATTAGTGCACTTTGGAGGTACAGACAGATTCGTTTTAGTTAAATTTTATAATTTTCGTAATCATAATGGTTTCCCTTCATTTTTGATGGGGTTTTATACTAGTATGTAACTTATATAAAAGCCAATGTGTGTCATGACACGCTTGATAAGCCTAAAGTAAGGACGTAGTGTGGATCACCTGGCTTAGAGCTAAATACATAAAATTCATCATGAAAGTAGAAATATCAATTCAATTTTAAGCTTAAATCGTTTCTGAATTAAGCCATTTTCTGTTATATCACCAACGTTTTTAATAACAAACAAACCTCTTTAATCAACGGAGACTCTAAATTAAGAAATCAACAAATATTTTTCCAGTTTTAATGTCTATACATTTTATTTTATACTTTCAGTACACAGACTAACAACAATATTAGATTATACTTTTGTTGCTAAGCAACATAACATAAAAGCCATTTTTGGAACTTAGTGTTACGAAAACGCACTGGCTTTTCTATATATTAGAAGTTGTTAATCTAACTGAGTTTTACCAATAACTATTTTATGAATACGCCACAAATTCATTTCATGAATAATCTTAATTTTGATTGGCTCACAAATGAATTTATCAAAGTTTGACTGCCTCAACTGCACTTTTCTGCCTCTTTATTGGTCAAGCTTGATTTCGCAGAAATTATTTATTTCAGTAAGCGATGAAATGTGAGGTTAGGGTATACTATGGGGTGGGGTGGTAGTATCTGCCCCCGTCATTTTTGACGGGCTAACCTAGTATATTATAGTTTTCTAAGTTTGTATACTAAGCGAACAATATAAAACTACTTTAATAATGAAGTTAAACTAATACATTTAACAAAGTTATCAGGAAAGGAAATAGAACACGCTTAGAAGGAGCAGTAGGTTGATAGGTATAAAAAAGATAGGAGGTTTTTATTTTATATTCTAGCTTGTTAATATCAGTAATTTGAGTTCCTAATTCGTAAGAAACTATAGACTTTGTATTTTGACATCACACACATCTAATTTGAACCAATGCTGCATTCAACATACCACGTGACACACAAAAATCGATATTTAGGTGTGTTCTTATAATATTTATTTTTAAATTGAGAAATTAACTAATGCATAATACCAAAATTTCAATTATAGTCTACAGAGTCTACAGTTTGATACCAAACTTATTAACATAAATTCATAAAACAGAAGTTCAATATAATTTTGAATGTAAGTCAACAAACGCGATGGCATGGCCTTTGACCCGTAACGATAAGGTTAATAAACATCTTCATTGGTACTAAACTTAACCAAAGGGGAAAAAATGCAAACTGAGAACTAGGTACACTGAAAGTAATAGAAATAGTTATATTATAATATACATTTCGACCAACAATGTCAACAAAAGCAACACTAAAGAAAGAATAGGAAAAACAACTTATTTACTGATCCTATCAACAATAGTTTTCTGTTTTATTGACGGCTGTATGTTACATCTAACTGACTATACTATGGTTAATTTTCCAAGTATTTTTTTACAAAATTTCAGTTACGTACACGCCTAATGCTGTTATATTTATATTAGCTCTCCGTGTTTCTCCTGATAATGAAACAAGCGCCTTTATTTGATCCAGAAGTCAGCCAACACAATACCTCTCTCCTCTCATTCTGTTCGTAATATTCTCATTCGTAAATGTGCTGTGAAGTTTGTTATGCGGTAAACATTAAACTTTACTAACTAACTGCCTCGTTCAGTTATAACCACAATTTATGAACAAATGTTTAACACTTGTAGTTTAATCTATTTTAATATTCACTTTAATTAAAATTTTAAGTTGACTTTTTCTTGAAATCTTAGATTGATTATCCTAATACAAAGTAAATCTTCAATGTTTATGAAGTTATATTATAATAGATAATAAATAAATTACACATTAGATAAAGTTACTTCGTGCACAAAATACCAAGAATACCGACACCGTAAATAAAATACAATCAAGCTAAAACTATAAAAATAATTTCCTTCAAACACGATGAAAAGAAAATTACAACAAAGGAAAATATGACGATTAAAGTAATTAACAAAAAGTAATGTAGTGTAACACACAAAAATGTCATAATATTAAAAAAACACATATATATAAATACATAGGCTGCATTAAGTATATTAAGAGTTAAAACTATTGGTGGTCATGTGCAATACAGTAAATACCCTACAAGTTTAAATCTTTCAAAACCGTTGAAGAAATAGAAAAGATGTCAGCATAAAATACGTCACAATTTTATCGTTTAAAATATTAGTCCTAACAAAATAAATATCAATCTTGATTAAACAACCTAACGTAGTATTAAAGTGTTTAGAATAGAACATGTTTCTTTGGGTCATTTTACACCCACCCTCCCCATGTTTCAGTGGTAAGCCTAAGGAGTTAAAATGCTAAAATCCATGGCTTGATTCCTGCAGTGAGCGCAAATAGCCCATTGTTCAGTTTTTTGCTTAAGTAAACACAAATAAACTTTAGGTTATCTTACCGAGTACATCTTAAACTTATTTATTTTACAATAAATAAAAACTTATTATTCTGCAACGTGTATACTTTACCGTACCATTTGAGATAAACGTGTGTTATCCATAAAATTGAAACAGGGAATTGCAGCTGTATTAATCTAACGTTTGAAAAACGTACTCATGGCGATTATATGGAAACTGGTGGCGGCCTCTACTTTTAAATAACAAATACAGAAACGCTTTTACTGATGAGTTTATATTGAATACCAGGCGCTGTATATATAAATAAATAAATAATCAAAATTTAACCAACTGGTGTCAGTGCAAGTTATTGTCGTGTAAACAAAGAAAATGCAACAAATCTTTGTATTGTTACGTTTTCCATTAATAACATGTTTTCAAAAAGTAGGACTAATACGAAATTTAAGCGGAAATCTTTTGTTTTACTTTATAAATAAAGTGTTTCAAAACAGTAATCCATAATCTTCACTTTATAACAGCTTGTAGGTATTGATAATTTAGTATCTTTCAGGCTCACTCATTCAATATCAACACTATTTCAACAAGCTGTACTTCCGCAGGTTCCCGAAATTGTTCTGTTTCAAGAGTAAATAAAATCAAAATCAAGAATAACAAATATTTTTATTTCTTGCTTTTGAAGTTCCTATGTCATGCTGTGTTGTAGCCTACATCGTGCATAATTATTCTCATGACTTATTGCATGCGCACGTTTTACTGACAAACAGTACAAATTGTAATGTTAAGCGTCCCTTATGTGACATCACTTTAGTGTTTACTGACTGCCTGATAAAAAACATACTACTGTATAATGGTGCGAGTGGTTAAAACAGGTGACCCCCATCAGGCGGCCTTCTGCCCCTTTCGGGAAAATAACTGTTCACGTGAAATTCATGTATTTTTGAAAAAAAGGTAATCTTTTCAGCAACTTTCGAACATTCAGCTATGAATCTGCACATAACAGACCATGTCAAGACGTTCTTGATGAATTACCGATCTCACCCATGATCCAGAAGTTATAAGATTCACTAATGTTTGATGGAACCCCTGCGATGGTTTGTGTCAGAAACAAGAATATTGGTAAACTTCTCACAAATACAAATATCTGTCCAAGATCTTCTAACTAATTATAAGAGTTTCCAGATTATGGCATTTTTGTTTACCACCTGGGCGTTTCCAGACCATTAAGATATTTGTTGTTATGTTCAAACTTTCCAAAAATAATAAATTTCAAGACTTTAACAAGATATTAAGGTAGTTGTAATGAACTCCATTTTAGTTTGCCAATATATCGAAGGAATTCCTCATGAATTAAAGCGGAGTTTGTAAGGGCATTTAAGTATTTCTCATTAATTTCAAAGCTTAAATGGTATAGGTAATTTTTCTTTAGTAAACCGTCAGATTTACACTTCACAAAACCAATTGCTTTTCATTTTAGGTAAAAGAAGTGAATAAGTAACAGCGTTACTGACATTTAAACTTGCAGAATCACTTACCAGGAAGCACGGCTATTTCCGAATCTCGTAGTTCAACGCTAACTTCGGTGATACTGGCTGGATGAAATAACGTGCTGTCGTTGTGACCGTCACCAAGTTCTCTCGCTTGGCCATTTGATGTTGACATTAAAGATGGTGGCTCATTCGCTGAGCTAGAATGATATTCTGTATCGTAATGACCTGTACAAAAAAAAAGAATCATCTTACACATTTCTGAAACTAATATAACAGTTTGCATAAATCACAAGGATCGCATGAATGTTATAAGCCCTTGGATTTTAGGTGTTTAGCAAGGAGACTGCAAATTTGATGAGTTTAAAAAAAAACTTAATGAGTACCTGCGCTAATCATGAAACCATAAAATAAATCATGGAATACGTCAATGTTAACCGTGCTACATCGAAACGAATAGTGATAACCTGAAACGTTTACAAGAACTTCTAGTCTCAAGAACACGTGTGAGGAGAGTAAATCAAGTTCAGAAGCGAGACGGTGTTTTGTACCTACACGTAACTCGAAACTTGCAGTGAGCATTTTTCTCATCATCGGTGTTTAGGTCCTTTTAATTTATTTTTGCAAGGGAGGTATATCTGGTTTATGTGTTTCGTATGTTCGTGCAGAGCTACACATGGCTAGCTGTCCCTGATAGACTAGAGGGAAGGCAGCTAGTCAACACCACCTAGTGCTAATTCTTGAGCTGCTCTAATCGAATAGTAGGTTTTCGACGTCATACCCACTGACCTAAATTGTGGTGCACGATTTTACGGAAACGAGACGCGAATCATGAACTTTCAGCTGCACAAAAGCACGTTAACCACTAGGTCACGGTCAGTCCAGTATTTCTGGAGTGCTTGGTCAGTTTTTGTCACAAAAGGTAATGGGTCATTTCAACCTTTAATTACTGTCACTCGACACATCTTGTAGCAGCTACTGGACAGAGAATAACTCGATACTGGTGTCAGTGAATCGCTTGACCCTCTAATAAGCACTGGTTCAAAGAGTTACTAGAAACATCATCTAACAACTATTGATCAATGAACCATCCAACACCGACGTCCACCCTCCCTCAGCGTTAAGATTCAGGGGACATATAACGCAAAATAAGCTGTGTTCGGGGTTAGATACCCACGAAGAGCGTAGTATAGATAGCCCATTGGGTAGCTTTGTGCTTAAAAACAAAAAGATAAAAAGCAAGATCAGCAAGCTAATTTTTCGATTATAGGTCCCAATATCGCTCTGTTTCAAGGTATGTAAACAGTTAACGTTGCTTTTAAAACCTCTACCTCTTTAACAAAACATAATTACTAAATAAGTACTTTACGCTCAATATCAATTGTTACTACACTGACGATTCCACATGTTAACATCACTTCTTGTTTGAAGTGTGGCATTTCACATGTTAACATCATTTCTTATTTAAAGTGTGACATTTCACATGTTAACATCACTTCTTGTTTGAAGTGTGACATTTCACATGTTAACATCATTTCTAGTTTAAAGTGTGACATTTTACATGTTAACACCATTTCTAGTTTAAAGTGTGACATTTCACACGTTAACATCACTTCTTGTTTGAAGTGTGACATTTCACATGTTAACATCATTTCTAGTTTAAAGTGTGACATTTCACATGTTAACATCACTTCTTGTTTGAAGTGTGACATTTCACATGTTAACATCATTTCTAGTTTAAAGTGTGACATTTCACATGTTAACATCACATCTTGTTTAAAGTTTGACATTTCACATGTTAATATCACTTCTTGTTTGAAGTGTGACATTTCACATGTTAATATCATTTCTAGTTTAAAGTGTGACATTTCACATGTTAACATCACTTCTAGTTAAAGTGTGAAAGTAGTTCTAGGAAGTGACGCTGTATTGTAGAACGGAAGTGTTATTTCATGGTACTTTGATAATAATCACATCAGATCTTGCAGACCTCCTCTATTCTATAATACACATAAAAAGCTCTTGTTCTCACATTGTTTAGTATATTAATAATAGCCAAAAATCTCTTATGAGCCTGGCTTTTTTTTATCAGCAAATTTCACTTTGGTTATATTTCAACTACAAGCATATAGTCCTTAGTTATATGGTATTAGTTATAGACTCGGTAACAGCCTCCTCTTTGAATATTGTTTGGAAGGTAATCTTGTGATGTATTTAAACAAAAAATAACGTGTTTTTAGTGTAGCGCTTTTAATCGTTTCGTTTGTTTGCTTGTTTGTGTAAGTGCAAAGCCACATTGGGCTACCGCTGTGTCCATCGCAAGGAGTCGAACCCTAGATTTTAGCGTTGTAAGCCCATAAATGTATCGCTGTCCATTCAAGGAACTAATTGTTTCGTATTATTGTCTAAAAATATGTAACAGTATAAATTTATTTAAAGGTAATTGTGTATTACTTTATGAATTATTAACAAACACGCATACACTGTATCAGTTAGGATCAATCAGGAAACTAAACTGTATCAGCTATAACTAATCAGGAAACTAAACTGTATCAGCTATAACTAATCAGAAAACTAAATTGCATCAGTTATAATCAATCAGAAAGCTAATCAGCATCAGTTATAACCACTCAGAAAACTAAATTGCATCAGTTATAACTAATCAGAAAACTAAATTATATCAGTTATAACCAGTCAGAAAATTAAAATGCATCAATTATAACCAATCAGAAAAGTAAGCTGTATCAGTTATAACCAGTCAGAAAAGTAAGCTGTACCAGTTAATAACCAATCAGAACATTAAGCTGTGTCAGATGTAGCTAACCAGAAAACTAAAACTATTTATTTGAGAAAAGTAATAACAACGTTAACAATAATCGTTGAAAATGTTATATTAATAACTTGAGCTACTTTTATTTATATATTGTTAATTACCTATAAGCCCTATAACTTGAAATGATAAATAAAATAGGAACAGTCTGGGTCATTAGTCGAATAAATATCGTGTGAAACCAGTCTTATCTTCACATCAAAGTTGTTTAAACTGCGGCTAAAGCCTCATTTAGAAAGAACGGAAAAAATTAGAAATTCAACGGAGCTGTTTCGTACGGTCTCCACATCAGGATCGGCATGGCGAAGGTTTGTCAGACAGTTTGTTTCTTGAATTTTGTTTAAATCTACTCGAGGGCTATCTGCGCTAGCCGTCCCTATTTTGAAGTGATAGATTAGAGGGAAAGTAACTAGTCAACATCATACAACCCCAAATCTTGGGTCACTCTTTACCAACGAATAATGAGATTGACCGTTACATTATAACGCCCCAACGGCTGAAAGGGCGAGTATGCTCGGTGAAAGGATTCGAATACTTGTCGAACAATATAATATGATAGACATTACATGAAAGAAAAAAAAAAGATGCAAGCGCTTTAGACACTATAAGTAGAGACAACGGAAATACTTCTGTGAATAAACAGCGACGTCATCGAACGCTACTACTCGGACTTTAACACCCATAGCAGAAATATTTTGCAATAATTTGACTTCTAGAAATTAACAATAACAACCAAGCGAAACTAAAATACATTTAGTTTTAAATAAAATAGACCCTTCAACATTTTGACAGTAGCACCACAATCGTCCTTTTTGAGTTCGTGTTTCCAGTGTTTTCCAGAAGTATAAAATGCCAAATTTAAAAGTTAAGATAATATATTCACAAGACTATGAAACAACCTAGTTTAAAAGATAAATAAATATCATAGAAATGCTGATATTAAATACTGCCTGTTTGAATAACTGATTACGCTAAACTAAAATGTAAAAACTTTGAGATATATATTGAATCCGAGGAAGTAATATCTAGATAAATGAAAATTTGTTTGCAAGAAGATTAACCAATGTCCCTGGAAAAAATAGGGGTAGTTTGTTTGTTGTTAAGCGCAAAGCTACACGATGCTGTGTCCAACAACGGTATCGAAACCTGGTTTTCATCGTTATAAGCCTTCAGACTTATCGCTGAGCCACTGTGAAGGGGGGGGGGGGCAAATAGGAGTAGAGTAAGACACGTCACGGCAGTCTTGTTGAGTCGCGTGCGAGAATGACCTGCATAGAAATGACATTAGAAAGCACACGCCAGTATGTGATACATTTATTCACCAGCCATCTTTGTTCCTCCGCCTCATAGGTGTGACATTTTATTTTCTTTTAATGTCACCAGAATTGCACCACATCTTCCACGAAATATCAAGAAATTAGGTGTTATTTTTGTGAACACAGAATAATTTTTATTGTTTTCTCAACAAAGGTCTGAACCTCTATTCTTGTTACGATATAAAGAAAGATCGCGGTTTTTGGTGTGACGTCATTGCAGTATTCTAGGAAATAATCATGATAAGTTTATGACATTCATAAATCATTCTTGTTCATGAAACGCAATGTCTAAGCTCGTTACGTTTATATGGAAATTCGATGATAAAAACGAGAGTATGAAGGTGAAATATTTTTGTCGCGATGATAAAAATACTACTACCAGGGGTATTAGCTTGAAATATTTTTGTCGTTTGGAAAACGGATGGAACGAAATGTAGAGTAAAACCACTAACGATCTTTATTCTGGATTGACGTATTAAATTACACAGCGTGGAAAAAAGCACCTGCAGGTTTTCCAAATCAGTGCTAATTAAATTTTATAGAATTTAATTTGCTTTTAGATTCGTGCAAGACCCATTATTATCGTTTTGATATTTTGAAGAAGTCAACACTTCAAGAACTGTTGAATGTCTCCTCAAATCTACTTAACTAAGTCTGACTAGTAAAGTTTCTCTACATCTTACATAAGACAATTATTATTTGAAAGATTTATATGACAACCAACGAGGATGTGAAATAAATGTTGAGTACTAAATTTGGGCTGAAGCCATGGTAACCAACGCAGCGTGTGCTTCGATGTGACGTCTCAGTGACGTATAACTTTACTTGAAAAACAAATAAAAATAGTACTGCAAATGGATATTGTCTCGAATTTTACAACCCGGTAAAAGAGTGGTTTTATATCAGGATGAATACACTTTCCAACAGTTAGTTTCTTTTGGACAGGCTTATCCACTGGCTTAATCAACTTTAGCGATAAACCATTTAAAACATCTGCTCCATATGTCATTGCATTTGTTCTTTCAAAATGTGGAAACAGCAAGAAATCGTTCCTAGAGTTTAAAAAGTCACCCTCCATTGGCTCAGCGATAAGTGTGAAGACATAACGCTAGCAACCAGATTTCGATACCCGTGATGAGCACAGCACAGATAGCCCATTGTATACCTTTGCGATTAGTAACAAACAAACCTAAGACGTTTCAATGAATCTATCCCCCTTTCCTCTCTAATGCAAAACAGTGACTTGCTCATTCAGTGCTCCCTTTCCGTTTCTGTATATCTAGCCCCCTTTTTTTCTATACATACAAAACAGTGACTTGCTCATTCAGTGCTCCCTTTTCCGTTTCTGTATATCTAGCCCCCTTTTTTTCTATACATACAAAATAGTGACTTGCTCAATCAGTGTTCTCCTCTTCTGGATTTTTTCAACACTAGCAAGATGTTTCCCCATGTAATAATCTCCTCACATACATTTGTGTCTAGAACATCATGAGCTGAAACAAGTATAAAACCTTCGAAAATGTCGCTCACTTTCAAAATATCAGACAATAAATGTAACTTTTCCTATTTATTCATTGAATCACATGGAAATAGCGAAAATGTATAAAGGTATTTAATAAAAATAACTCGTTAAATTTTAAGGCTTGACAGCAATTCCAATGTTAACACTAAGTTTTTATTATGATTCTTTGAGTTTATTTAACTGTCATGCAAGAGTTTGTATAAATGTTTCATTTTTTTTATTCTTAATGAAAAACAGGCTGTATAAAGATTTATGTTTTATTAATGTACTCAACAACTTTTACCAACAGATCTTGTTCATAGATTGATGCACACATCGACTTACCAACAGATCTTGTTCACAGACTGACTTACTCAACGACTTACCAACAGATCTTGTTCACAAATTGATGCACACAACGACTTATCAACAGATCTTGTTCACAGCTTGATGTACTCAACAACTTTTACCAACAGATCTTGTTCACAGATTGATGCACACATCGACTTACCAACAGATCTTGTTCACAGACTGACTTACTCAACGACTTACCAACAGATCTTGTTCACAAATTGATGCACACAACGACTTTTCCCAACAGCTCTTGTTCACAGATTGATGCACACAACGACTTACCAAAAGATCTTAATCACAGACTGACTTACCAATATATCTTGTTCACATATTGATACACTCAACGGCTTACCAAAAGATCTTGTTCCCAAACTGACTTACCAATAGATCTTGTTCACAGATTGATACACTCAACGGCTTACCAAGAGATCTTGTTCACAGACTGACTTACACAACGACTTACCAACAGATCTTGTTTACAGCTTGTTGGAATCAACAACTTTTACCAACAGATCTTGTTCACAGATTGATGTACACAACGACTTACCAATAGATCTTGTTCACAGATTGATACACTCAACGACTTACCAATAGATCTTGTTCACAGATTGATGTACACAACGACTTACCAAGAGATCTTGTTCACAGATTAATACACTCAACGACTTACCAATAGATCTTGTTCACAGATTAATACACTCAACGACTTACCACCATATATTGTTCATAGGTTGATGTACTGAACTAATTGCCACCAGCTCTTTTCACAAGTAAGATAAAATATTTTTTGATACCAATAAGGTCATCTAATTAGTGACTAGGTATTTAATATTTGACTCTACCTGTGTCTGAGCGTCCCAGGAGATAATCATGCCCCTGAAGATTTGCTTGTAAGGTAGAAGATGCATAACATCCATGATATTTTCCAACTTCACTTATATCAGTGTCAGTATGATCACAGACCACTGCATCTTGTCTCTTGTTACTGTCTATATAATGTTTTGGACTGGTCTGTACTGAACTGTCCTTCATATGAATTGCCTGGTTCCCATGACAACCAGATAAGTCTGCAGGATACAGAAGCTGCGATGGGAAAGTATGACTACAGAACCAGTTTTTTGTCACATGTTGCCATTCGATCCTCTCGATACCTCTTTCAACCGTCACCAGAAGGTTCTGAAGTAGAAAAGGCAAGTGTTCCTCTGAGTCTGGTTTTGAGAGTACGGCCGGAGAGACAGGTGTTAGGGGGTGATGAATCCAGTCCATCGCAAAGAGAATATCCAATTCACTTTCATGTGCCACGCGCTCTTTAATGCCGCTCAAAGTTCTATAAATACAAACTACTTCCAAACAACTGTTATTCGATGATGGCATATACGAAGATGACCAGGACTGACGGAGACAGAAATAGAAGTCTCCAGGTTTAAGCAGAGATCTGTCTATTTCTCCTAGTTGGACTAACACCCTCTGGTGAACACAGAGCGGCCAACTGCTCCACTTAAGTTCACAACAGCTGTGACACAGGTCGTCTAGGTCCTTGTAAAAAATAAAAAAATATCATTAAAGTCTGACCAAAGCGAGCTGCCTACATATACATCAGAGTCAAACTTTAACGCAGTAATTAATATAGTTGATTTAACATACCGTTTTTATTTGTTGTATGGAAAAGCCATAGAACAATGACTTATAATGATTAGAATTCATTGATTCATCAGTTGGGTGCCCTCGCTGTTAACAATATTTTCGGCCGTAAACCCACTAATATTTCACGAAGTTCGGTCAGCTTAGGTTATTTATGTTTCTTCTAAACAAAACTATTAAACTCAAAGTAATAATGCAAAATAATCAAATTAATAATATATATATATATATATGTTAAACATTTAACAAATACTGTTTATGAGACTAATATTAAAGAAAAAGTAGATCGCATTAACTTAAAAACACTCGCTTGGCAAATACTGGGCAATACTTACCTCATCAGTACAGGCTACGATCTAACCAGTATCAGTACTCCTCAATTTAGCTAAGACATTGGTAAAGAGTGTAACACTTTTGTAAGTTGTACTTTAGCTCTAGGACGTTTTATGTACAGGTTTAAGTTGTGCGTAAGACGTGACAAGAGAAACAGCACAACTTGATCTAAGTAGAACATAAAATTAGTTTTGTTCACAAAAGCATACTGGGGCAAATGGATATTCTAATGTACCAGAAATAAAAATTTAATAAAGAAAATACGTTAAAATTTAATTATTTCAGTTTGCTGAAATTTCCGTTTTTACCAAAGTACAAGGAGATAACTTAAAATTATAAGTGCTCTTGCTAAGCCTTAATCGAAAAGCTCTAGTTGCAGGTGTCCACTGAAGATATACATCATTATAAAAAGCAAATTAATCACGAAAGTTTAAAAAATCAATTTAAGTTCATGAAGAGCCCTGGTTTTAAACACATGTATTTGCTTTGACCACTAGCAACTAGGAGAGAAAAAAAAACACTTCGACAAACGTATATTTATAAGGAAGGATTTTATCTAGAGTTTTCCAATATATAGCTGAGAAAGTAGGTTCTAAAACTGCAATACTGTTGCGTATATTATTAGAATGTGCTTAACTTATCTATTGAAGGCTACGTCTGCTATGGATTAATTTCTGTATGAAGGCTTTGTCTACTATGGATTAATTTCTGTATGAAGGCTTTGTCTACTATGGATTAATTTCTCTATGTGAAGGCTGTGTCTACAATAGATTAACTTATCTGTGTGAAGGCTATATCTACTATGGATTAACTAATCCATGTGAAAACCATGTCTACTATGGATTAACTAATCTATGTGAAAGCCATGTCTACAATAGATTAACTTATCTATGTGAAGGCTAAGTCTACTATGGATTAACTTATCTATGTAAAGGCTATGTCTACTATGGATTAACTTACCTATGTGAAAGCCATCTTTACTATGGATTAACTTATCTATGTCAAGGCTATGTCTACCATGGATTATTCAAAGATTGTTCAGTATAAACCAACTAAACCCACAGTGACTCGCTTATACATAGACTCGTCTTTCATTTATATCGACATCTTAGTGAAGATTTGAAAAAAAAAAGTTACCAAACTTTAATAGATTAATAAAACATTGGCCGTTTCGTTTTTCAAATATTTTTAAGGGCCAGTGCTGTCGTCTCAAGGTACAGAATACGTCGATACGTTGAACTGAGAGTTGTATAATAAAGTATCGAATCAAAATGACTTTATGATTATGTGTACTTCGGTTCTGTATAGTTTGTTTAATAATTCACGGAAAGCTACAACAGGGTTAGCTGCTAGTTTTAATAGTGTTTCTAAGCCTTTTCGATACCTCCCTAAACTGTTACTGATCGCTAAAATGCAAATACAACGAGAAACCATTACGATTTACAAATGAATATTCTGCCAGTTTTTGTTTTGTTTGTTTTCGTGAAATTCCACGAACAGGCAAGGTGATTGTGACGGACCAGCGCTGGTCTGCAGACCAATAATGGAGAAACACTGGACTAGAAGAAAGGCAGCTAGTCAACAACTAATCTAATCGAATAGTGGAATTTCACTCTTAGAACGCAACCGCGGCCCCCAAAGTGTGGAGCTCAATCTGATCTACTTTCTTTTGCGACAATGGGACTCGAACCATGGACCTTCGAATACACAGTCCGACACGCTAATTACTACGCCACGTGCTTCAGGCATTGATGTGTAGTCTAAAATATTTTTATTTACTTTTAACGAGATTAGTTCGTCAAACAAACGACTAGAGGACGAGTCTTGTTGCTCCCTGGTGGCTCAAGGTAAGTCTGAAGGTTTATAACGCTACAAATCGGGTTTCGATACCCATGATGAGCATAGCATATATAGCATCCTTGTGTAGCTTTGCATTTACTAACAAACAAGCATTGTTTTCCATGACAGCTCGCATGCCTGCTACTTCTGAGAGGAAGATCCCAGTAAGGAAGAAAGCTTCTAATATTTAAATTTGTTTTTTATTAAGCAATCAATTTCATAAATCGTTTGAAATATGTAACGTAGTTTCATCAACAACTAGAATTTGATATTTAAACTATAAAGCAAATGGTATAAAATACTCCTTACAATCAATCTCTGTAAACAAGCCACTTCTTACAACCAGTCACTGTAAACAAGCCACTTCTTACAACCAATCCCTGTAAACAAGCCACTTCTTATAACCAATCCCTGTAAACAAGCCACTTCTTACAACCAATCCCTGTAAACAAGCCACTTCTTATAACCAATCCCTGTAAACAAGCCACTTCTTACAACCAGTCACTCTAAACAAGCCACTTCTTATAACCAATCCCTGTAAACAAGCCACTTCTTACAACCAATCCCTGTAAACAAGCCACTTATTCTACAGAACCACTCGCAGTAAACCAGCAAATTATTACAATCAGTCGCTGTTGAATAACCCATTTCTTATATCCAGTCGCTGTCGATAAATTACTTATTACAACTAATCGCTAAGGTCCAAACAGTTATACTTATTTTCATATCTTGCAAAACAAATTTTTACGATACGTGTTCCAGAATGGGTGATATACAGACAGAAGGTGTAATTGGTTAGCCGGTATGGAGAAAGAATATGTAAACTTTTGTCCTTGCAGAGCAAAAAAGAATTTACGTAGTTTACAACAGAGAATAATCACGAGTTCTCGTCCCTCATTTAACTGCAATGACCTTTGACCTTTAATCAAGTTATATCATGACTCAGCGTAAACGAAAACAACATTTCAACAACATTTTTAAAAATTAACAAAAACACATTAAACACCAACAAGACCAATAAGGTGGAATCCACAATACAATAAGAAATTATTGGCATTATAATAATTACAATTTAGTCACAATAAATTACAACTAATTACAACTTAATATATATATCCTCAGAATGATGTAAAACTCACAAAGACAGAACATCATCTACGTTAGCTTATAAAAAAAATCATATCATTACTACCGTGTGTTTTTTTAATCCTCGGTAATATAAGAAGTCACGTATGTGTGCCACGTGCGACTGTTCCTGTGCATTTATATCGCTTACTAGTGAAATCGAAGTGGTCACACTGACCACAAAATTTAAGTGCAGCTGAGCATCTGTGCTAATACGTTTGTTAAATAACTGAAGAAAGAATAACTTTAGCAATATGAGTCAGCTACCTTGTGTATCGGCTTCGGAACATAATCTGCCACTGTAGCCAACTTCAGAACATAATCTGTGACTATTGTCAACTTCAGAACAAAACCTATCCCTGTAGTCAACTTCAAGGAACAATCTCTCACTATAGCCAATTTCAGAACACAATCTATCACTATAGCCAACTTCAGAACACGATCAATCACTATAGCCAACTTCAGAACAAGTCTATCACTGTGGTCAACTTCAGAACATAATCTATCGCTACAGCCAACTTCAGAACACAATCTATCACAGTAATGAACTTCGGAACACAATCTATCAGTATAGCCAACTTAAGAACATAATCCATCACTACAGCCAACTTCAGAACACTATCTGTCTTCTTTTGTTAACTCAGACTATATGGCAAGTCTTCAGCTACTCGTGCTACCTTCACTTTGTGAAATGCTTGATCCTAGTTTCCTCACACCACTGTAAACTCTAGTAGAAACACGCTTACTCTCACGTTATCATTTTCCACAACACATTCTTACTTTCGCTACATATTTACAGTCTGTATCAACAGTCATCTGGTGCCTGCCGCTTTAACAAATCTCCTGAAACAGATACTTACTTGATCTCCCTTGTCGCGGATTCGAATCCTACCACCGAATATGCTCGCCCTTTCAGCTTTCGTTATAATGTGATAGTCAATCTCAATTTTCATTGGTAAAAGATTATTCGAAGAGTTAGCGGTGGGCGATATTGACTAGCTGCCTTCCTTCTAGTCTGTGACTTCTAAATTAGGGACGGCTAGCGCAGATAGCCCTCGTGTACCTTTACGCGAAATTCAACAAACAAAATAACTAAAGAAAAAACCTTAAAACTATATTTGACTAGTGAAAAAAGCATTACAACTACATTTGACTAGAGTGAAAAAAGCGCTACAATTACATTTAACTAAAGAAAAAAGCGTTACAACTACATTTGACTAGTGAAAAAATCGCTACAACTATATTTGATTAGAGCGAAAAAGGCGTTACAACTACACTTGACTGGTGAAAAAAGCGCTACAACTACATTTGACTAGAGAAAAAAGCGTTACAACTACATTTGACTAGTGAAAAAGTGCTAAACTATATTTGACTAGAGTGAAAAAGGCGTTACAACCACATTTGACTAGAGTAAAAAAAGGAGTTAAATTTAGTTGTTTGTTTGTTGAATTTCGCGGAAAGGTTCAAGAAGGATATCTCCGCTAGCCGTCCATAATTTAGGAGTAATAGGTTAAAGAGAATGTAGCTAACCAACAGCAACCACCGCCAACTTTTGGACTAGTCTTTCACAATGGAATGTTGGAATGACCATCACATTA